GTATAAACCACTTTTTAGGGATTTGTCGGTGAGGTTTCTTGACTAGTTAGCTTGAATTTTGTTGTGACGATGTTACCTCGCTCTGATGATGTCCGTCATATGACGGACGAAAGCTTCAAGCCTGAATTTTGTTGTGATGTTGTTACCTCGCTCTGATGATGTCCGTCATATGACGGACGAAAGCTCCTGACGATGTTACCTCGCTCTGATGATGTCCGTCATATGACGGACGAAAGCTCAGCACGTGTTCACCGGAACGATGTTACCTCGCTCTGATGATGTCCGTCATATGACGCACGAAAGCTCAGCACGTGTTCACCGGAATCGAAGAAGATTGCCTTGGAAACAGCGTCAGCATGAATGTTCCAATAAAGCCAATCGACAGCAGGTCAAGAGGAATCCGCCGTCGTCTTCTGGTGGAACCCACCTTCGAATCTCTTCACTCGAAATGGAAGTAAGCTCAACAATTAAGACTTTCTCTCAAGTAACATGGTATCCGAAAATTGAACATTCTTTACCGAAACCAGAGGAGGATGATGATTGTCTGGACATGCCACTAGAATGAAATCAGAGCTGGTCAAAGGCTATTCAACGAATCTCATATTCACACAATTTCCCACAAAATGAGAGTCCGGCCTTCGTTTGAGCACCAGTTTAGATCCGACCACTTCAACTAGGTTGGAGACTGTATTGAATACTTGATCTATAAGCTAAGAACAAGTTCTATAAGAAGTTAATTTATTGAAAGATGTATTATTCATGCTCTTCTACCAGTTTTATATGGTCAATACTTTCTCAGTAGATGGGCCAAACAGAAGTAGACTCTCACCGTCTTATTTGCAATAGCTTACTGAATTATGCATATAACTTACTTTCAATTTGGATAATTGCCCATTACAAAAGCTACTATGATTCAATCTAACGTCGTGAAAGCATAGTTACATTGCTATCGGCTAAATAACCCTACACCATCCGTATCTAGGCCTGTATGCATAGTTAAGTTGGTGTATAACAGGTGCAGTTTATTCCACTACATGGACTATTTCATCACAATGAAAAGAGTCGCCGTTCAAGACAGGATCAACTCCGTCGAGGCATAAAAGCTGTCTCAGTCACGATGCCTACTGAAATGAATGAAAAATATCGTACTTAATGACCTTGGGCCATTTGTGCTCTTCACCTTACTTCAGCCTACTTCATGCCGCCGGCGTTTCGGACATTGAAACCTGCAGCAGGACCATTCAAGTAAACGACTGATGTCTGCGTCATCGCATTTGTTGCCGTTTGAGTCTACCAGTTCGGTCAGTCAAACAGCAGTTCCCACCATATCTTGCTCAGCAGACAGTTCAACCAGAGTCTGCGCATCGATCCGACACGACTTGTTCGACTCGTTCGTTTTTGCCCCGAACATTCACTGCGCCCTCATAGCCGGACCGAGTTAATCTCGACTGCAACGTTCTCTGATCAGCTCCTCGGCCGCCGTCGACGTAAAGACTGCCTCTCAGGCCGTATTGCCGTTTAGCCAATTTCAATTTCTCAAGGATACCTGATTCAGATGAGTGTGGTACTGATGTTTATGGCTCAGGATGCCATTTCATTTGACTTGGTCTTGCCAATAAAGTTCCTCCAAAGGGTCACGCATAGGAGTGCGTCTGAGAAACTCAAAAATCGGTCCTTAAATTACCTTAAGCCTTATAGTGGTACATTAGAGCTGGTCTCAATTTCGTTTCGTGTGTCAGGGTATGATGGAGAGATTATTTAGTGGACCTCGAGTGAGGTCGACAAATGGACCTCTTTCTTACACGCCTCAACTCGGAACGAAAAGCAAGTTTGTACACTTTATGTATTAACTTCTATTTTGTGGTTTAACTGAGTAAATATAGCTTGCAAGGAAGAGCCAAAAAGTCTTTTTGGCTTAGAGCTGACTTAAAATGTGTATAGGAATAGGATCAAGTCTTCCAGTGGTATGAAGCATGAAAGACCCGCTCGTTTATACGCGAACCCAAATGTGATGTTTCGTGGTGAGTGTCAATCTGAACGTCCCGATAATACCAAACGACCGCAGCCAAGGAGGCACCAGCTGTCGTATTCAGGTAAAACTGACTTACCAACCGCTTCCTCACACGGTTTTATCGTAAATCAAAGTCAAAGCAACACCAACCCGCCCTTTGTCTATATGAAGTAAAGAGGGCCGTCGACAAATCTTCTGAGGTAACACTTTTGTAAAGACACTTTCTTCGGTTGTTCATTCTTTTTAGAAATTCGCCAGTTATAAACTTGTGTCTTCCTGTAGTCGGGCATATTTTGGTGAGACCTGTCAGCCCATTTGCCAAAAAATTGGCAGAGCACAAAAATGCCTTCAAAGGCAGAAGTAGCTGATTACAGGGCGGGACTGATTATGGTATAACTGCTGTATAATGCATTGAAATAAATGGATTAGGAAATATTTTGAATTTGAGTAATGGTGGTCGAAAGTTAAAAAGAATTACCTATCGAAGGTATGAAGACCAAGAGGTTGTTTGACCTTGTTTTCGCAGCATGATCATATTGGTAGGAAGACTTAGAGGAACGCACCTAGTTCGGAGTCCATTGTCTGCGTGATCGTTGCCAAAAGTTGAGAAGGACAGTTGGAGTGTGAAGGTGTCATGTCGTTCAAAGGAGCACACCACACCATATCTAAATAAATACGGTAAAAATTGTAATAGTGAAGGCATGATAGGATGATACCGGAAATGCGAATAACCCAGGGCAGAAGGGG